CTCTAATACAAAATACCTCATACGTCTATTGCAAAAGACAAAATACCTCATACGTCTATTGCAAAAGACAAAATACAAGAAACCTCTAATACAACATACATATAACCTCTTATGCACAATTGATTTTACAATCTGAAACATCTACCATAAGCATTAGATGACATATCTCGTTGTCATTACTTACGTTTCTCCACGTCAAGGTCGAAGTATTTTCTAATCGACACAATAATTTCTCCCAAACGAAGGGAGCTAACTCTAGTTTATTGTTGTACAACCGGAAGCGCGGTACTTTTCGAAGAAAAAAGCTTTTGCAGTTACTTACAGGCCTACTCAACATTTGTATTATTATTTATAGGCATATTATAAATGAATTCACCGGTACGTATACTTTTTTCTTTATATGATTCTATTGTGGTACTCTAGCCTTTAGATCTCTTTCGAAAGTGAAAAGACGAAAAAATCACTTCTCTCTACTACAGACTAATGACTATAGTATACATTCAATACTATACTATACATTCAATACTATATTGAATACATCAATACATATATGACGTTGTCCCTATCCAATGTCAATGACTACTACACTACAGTATGTACAGGATATATAATACTTGAATTGCTAGGATAAATATACTTATATTTTCATAGGCCTAGACTGTGCCAAACCAATATATTAAATTCGATGAAAACACCAGAGTGAAACCACTATGCTATGGCCATGGCCGCCATGGGTGAACTTAAAAAGGTGAAACCACTGTGACTGTTACCACTGTTAGCCCATTTTAACAATCTGTGATTTGCCTAGGAGTAGGGATCTGTACTATTTCTAGTATGAACCTTTTCATGTGAAGCAGTTGATGTTACTGCTCTTTGGGGGGCCCGGTGTGGCCGAGTGGTTAGGACGCTTGCCGCTCATGCTGGGGGTCCCGGGTTTGCATCCCGGCGAGGTCAAGGTCAACCTTGTGGATCTTTCAGACTGGGTTCCCCCTTGTCAGGTGGGGGCTGACATGGAAAAGCGTTCTAGTCCATCGGAGACGACGATAAACGGAGTCCCGTGCTCATTCGATAGAGCACGTTAAAGACACCTCGCCAGTTAAAAATTGGTTGTAAGAGTAGGCCATGTGCCGCTGCCTTGGCAAAATTCACCCTCAGTGCACACACTTGGCATATGCCCGTCTCTAATTAGAATTACAGTGCATAAAAATGGGACGTTAAACTCTATTTCATTTCATTTCTTTAATTTCAGTAGAATGGATTTAAACATTAATAAAACAGTAGATCTGCTACGACAAGCTGTAGTTGCATTAGAAGAAGCGAGCGTCACACCAAGAGAAACTGCAAGGAGACCTGCTGCCAATGATCCTGGATCATCTTGTGCCGATGGTGAAATCAGGAGACTATTAACCAACACTTCTACTACTAGCACCCCTATAACTAGGCCCACCGGTACATCATCTAGTGAAATTCGCAGGCTTTTTACACCATACAATAGATCAAACCCCAGACAAGTACCGGTAACTCAACAGAGACAGTCTAAGTGGTCGCATAATTTTTTATGCTTGGCAGATCCACAGCATGTATTTATTACAGATGTTTGATTAAAATTAATCTTAAGTTTTTCACACCAACGCTTTAAAATGTTTGAAATATTTAAAGTGCTCTTCAAATGGCATTAAATTGACTACAGAAAATATATTCATAAAATATGCTTTGGATAGATGTAATATGATGCATGTGTGCTTGAATATAACAAGACCTTCTCTATTCTACAAACAAGTGTAAAACTTCTATTTTTGTAGCCTGGTCTATTCATACTCACAGAACTCATTAACTTATAATACAAATTTATTTCTGCCTTCAGGATTATGTCCCAACCAAGGATATGAAAGTAAATCTCTTTATGGCTGGTTTAGGAGAAAAGAGGCTAGTATTGGATAAATCTCTAGATCCAGCTTATTTCAAGGAGAGCGCCCTTGAACATTATCCAAAGTTAAAAGGAGGAGGGGGATTTGAATTACTCAGGACCTGCAACAGAACATGCCTGGAAATTATTCCACCCCAAAGATCAGGCTATACAACTTCGTTTTTAGCTGACTCGTGTAGTCTTGGACAGTGTGTTATTTTCATCAGGCCTCTCCAGCAAGCTTTGAATATGGACATCTCAGCATATGAATCTGAGGTAGGCACAATCAAAATAATTTTTTTATTCAAGTCCGAGGCAGGACATTAGATCATTGACACTTATTCATAAGTGAGCATATCATTTGGTTGCTAATTTTAGTTTATGCTTTTTTTATTATTATTAATATTGTAGCCAACAGATGATTGTCCCATTGAAAAGTGTCTTATTTGTGAGAAAGACATTCCCATAATACAACTGAAGTCCCATCTTAAAGAAGAACATGAGGTGAGTTATTGGCTTTGGAATAGACAAACGGCAGTGGTACTGTATTTAATGATTGTCATATAGTCAATTCAAAATAATTGAAATGACACAATGCCAGATTTATAAAGAGTAAGAATCTTTCACATTTGAAAATAAAAGTCATTAATTTTGAATCTCTGTGTAACTAAATAAAACTCTGGATAACAACAAATGTTTCAGACATAGCTAGCATTAAAGTAGACATACCAGTAATTAGAATTAATAAGAATTGCTCCAACAAAAAGTATTTGACTGGTGACTATGCCCCTTAACCTTTTTCAAATGCCATAGTCAAGTTTTTGCGACTTCTCGGTCAAACACCATAGTCACACTAATGCAACACTAGGTATGATTCAGAACGACTTGTGTCCAAGTTTGTGCCAACTCACCATCGAACGGAAGATAGATGAATGTCAAGGCCTTGTAAACATACGAAAATAGCTGGGCCTTAGTTCTCAAATAAGTTGTGAATTTTTAGTTTGAAAAAAGTCAGAAAATCAGATGTTCTTTTTGATAGCGACAGTGAATTTGGAATTGGAAATTTTTATGTTTTCATGAAAAAGAATTTTGTCCAATTCCCTTTGACTTTTTCATCGTGATATTGCTGTATTTTTTATAATTATCGTTTAGGTAAGTAAGTGGTCTATGAAATACAGTGCTATCAGAAACAATTTGTCCTTCACAGGAATGAAATATAAAAGATTAAAGTATTTGTAAATCCGAACCTATATTCTTTGTTTTATTGTTTATTCCTGTTACAGGGTGATGATGCACTGCCTGTTATCAAATCAAAGAAAACGAAGATAAGACCTATTTGTGATTATGTATGTCAGATAGAAGTAAGATACATTTTTTATTTTTTTTCTCACTACCGGTATTACAAATTGTTAATATACCGTACACCACTGGAAAGTTGGACACTTTTACTGCTTTTTTACAAATAATTTTGTCACTAATAGCCCTGCCTTGTGCTAAACCCTGTGGTGTAATGATGAATATTATGGTGCTTTGCACACATTTTATCCATTTGAAGAATATTAACAGCAAGAATTTTGAAAAAAAAGGGTGCTGCCAACTTCACCTATCACAGGGGAGAGGGGTTGTAAAATTGCAAGAGCAATGATACAAAAGCACTGGCACAGTTCAGCAAACATAGAATATCTGGTGAACATGGCCAAGGACAAGAATATGAATGTTTTGGCACTAATATCACTAAGCACTTGTTGAAAAAACACAGTAATAGGATTTAAAATAATGCTTTGTCATTTTGTTTAAAATAAATTTATATACAAGAATTAACTGAGGAGCTACTTAGGTACTTTTGAAAAACGTCACATTTTCACTTATTTTGTTGTGAATAACTGTACCACGACATGTTCATGTCCCATGTGAATTATGAAAAATATGATTTCACCAAAAAATGTCCTGTTGAGCAGAATGCCTTTCGGACATCTTGCACTTATAGTCAAACATGACTGGCAAATAGTAACTCGTATTAAATTACTGTTATATTTTATAGGATTTAGAGTCTGAGCTACAGAAAAATGATACACAGAAGTACTAATTATGTTGAAAATTATAATCTTTTATTGCATGCTGATTACTTATTTTTAAAACATTTTCTTTAGGTCCTTTATTTTTATGTTTGAATAAAGGTTAAGTTACCTTTCAAAATCAGTTGATGCTTGATTTCATGTTATTAATGTTTCAGTAATTATTTTTAATCAGTTTTATTAAAACAGACTGAACAGGGCTCAATTTAACCAATATCGCATTGCAGTTTTCTATTCTAATGTGAATCAGAGATTAGAATAATTTAGCAAAACCCAAAAATGTTCTCATGATATCAAAAAGGACTAGTCTGTTTCATTTGTGATGTGACGTCATTTATTGGATAGTCGCAATATCCAGACGTAAATGACTGGTCACAAAGTGTCCTAAAGGGCTTAAATCGTGCTACAAACATCAATTTTTTTTTCTTTGGGTGGATTTGGATGCTCAAAAGACACTATCAGATGAATAATAGATGAAATAAAGAACAGTTTCCCTTTAACTGATCTGACAAATTTAAATTTCTTTGGAATACTGTGCTAAACAAACTGATTTTTATAAATTGGGCCAATTAAAACATTTTCTTTAGTTCTGTTATATTTATGGTTAATAAAGGTTAAGTAACCTTTTAAGATCTGTTGATGCTTGATTGATAATTATTCATTATCTCATCTATATGAGTGCATCATAATAAATCAACATCATTATGTAGTCTAGATGTCGGAAATTAAACAGGACATAAGATTCAGGCTGCTTCAAAATATGAATACAATATAATATTAGTTTTTCTTTCATAAATGAGTCATATTCATCATAATATGTTAGTCAAGTGAAATTATTAACAGGAGCGTATATTTTGGTAACACACCATATGTATCAGTTTACAATTTTTATAAAAATTTTATTTTGTAGATGGACGGCTTGCCCAATATGTTTTGAAATCTTTCGTGAAGATTTAGTTGCCAGTCATTCTGCTAGTTGTTGTGATGAGACTACTCATATAAATGAAAGGTTTATGAAAATATTTTATTAATTTTATGAAAGTTTCTGTCAAGCAAACAATAGCATGTAATTCATGTACCCTACTTAAAAGTCGATTTGGACTAAATTTTTTGCTTGAAATATCTTTATGGTAGTCCTGCTGCATGGATTTAAGGTTTGAATATGAAAGATTCTAAAATATATTTAAAAATTTTTAGGTGTCTGTAGTTGGAGGATGGCTTATAAGTTTGTTATAACTCTTTTAGTTTTTGCTGAATCTGTATGACAGAAAGTGTTGATCTCATCTGAGATGTGGATGTGTAATAACAGTAAAATTATGATTTAATTCTAGGTTTTTAGGTGGATGAATTTGTTTAAATTTGTATTTCCTATGTCTCAATTTCAAGGACTACTAATTGTCCATTTAAACCCTATTTTGTCTGTGTGATTAAGAGTGTTATTAAAGCTTCCCTTTTGACCCACTGCGAAAAAATTCTGAAGTGAGTTATACCCTTTAAGACAATCTTAACATCTTAGATCGTGACGTTAATGTCTCATAGATAAAACAGATTAAAAGAGATAATTACGTCACAATCTGTGACTTTACAGAGCGTCTTAAAGGGTATAATACAATTGTCGGGCATCAGAATATTTTTTTTTCAGTGGGTCATAAGGGAATCTTACATAAGACTTTTATCAAAAAATACAAGGTTAAATAGACAACAATTGTCCTTTAGTATTTATTAAATTATCTTTTCAGTCATCCTATTAGTCTTCATGAAGCTCTTGAAAAATTTAAAGTGGATGTGTTTGGGGAAAAGAAGGAGAAAATAAATATATCTGTTTTACGTAATAAGTTTCTACAAACTGCTATGGAAAATCTAGATGATATTGACTTCCAGCAGATAATAAACGTGATATTTATCGGTGAAGAAGGTGTCGATGCTGGGGGACTCGCCAGAGAGTTTTTCTCTCTATTGTTCAAACAAACACCAGTCTTTGAAAATGGTGGATTTAATGTTAATTCACAGTTACTGAGTGATAAAATATATCAAATTATTGGCAAAGCAGCGTCATATTCAGTTCTCAATGGGAATCAAGGACCTCAGTGTCTAAGATCTCACCTTGTAAAGTATATATTAAGTAATGTGCTTCCAACAGATGAAGAAATTCCTGAGGAAATTTTGCCAGCTAATGTCTTGTATGTCCTTCAAGAGGTATGATTATAGTTTTGTTTTTCAGTCCTAATCAGGAAGGGATTTGTTGGTGTTCAGAAAAGTTTAATTGGGAAGACAACATGCTTTGCCTCAGTTCTGTTCCCTTCAAGTACATCCTGTCAGACTTGTATAGTAACTGAATGCTCCTACTGTTAAATTTCAAATACCTAGAACCAGTTAAAATATTCAATGAATTGGCTGCAATTTTAGAAGACATCTGATCTGACAAATGAATTTGGTTATTTTTCGTAGATGGGTAGATTAGATAATGAAGGATTAAATACTCTATTGACAGAAAATGCAGATGTATTTGAAGCTGCAGGTTTTAGACAGAAGCTACATTCAGGTTCAAAGCAAAGTGCAGCTCTGGCTCTTCATCAACATTTTGGATTTTACAGATTTCTACCGGTTATGATACAATTTATAGATGGTACGCTCAAACTTTTCATGATTTTTTTGTTCATTTTATGTAACAGAACTACCACGAAGACAATACTAGCTTTGTGAATATCAGAAATGGATGCAGAGTTTGCAAACTCAGTCGGAATAGCATCAAGTCTTCTGGAAGGGTTGCATGCCCTGTATTGCTTATTTTAGAAATTCATTTAAGCCGTTAAAAATGAGTTTAATTTTACAAATTTTAAATTGTTCCAAATTTATTACAAACGTTTGATATGGGCAATACTGGTGAGGCAGCACATATTAGGTTAGTAGTGGAATTCCTGCCACACTCGCTGTAACATACCATATGTAGAAGTGTAGGTGACACTTTTTCTTTCACAAAACTTTGAAACAGAAAGTCATCTTATGCTGTCAAATCAAGTGAGCATGGGGGCCATACAAATAGCACATTGTCACTTACATGTATGATCTTAGCAGATTCTGGTTGATTACACTTCTATAGATACTGCTAAAATTTGAGACAAGCTGAGACAAAAATGCTCATGATATGAGGTGTAATGATGTCAAAGTTTTTTGTACAACTTCTTACTTTAATTGCTGCCTCCTTAGTTGGCAGCCATTCAACTATAAGACAAAAATAAGTGGTAGTTGACGAGTTATCTTTCTTTATTAAGGTTTGAAACTTCATGGTGTGTATGATCTCTTGGTAAAATATCCAAAGGAATCATCCTTATTTTTAAGTATACATAAAAGTATAAAGACAAATCCCCCAGGAACAAACTCGATCAAACACTGTATAGTTTTAAAAGGATGTAATCTAGTACAAGACGCGTTTCGGGCTTAATAGCCCTTCATCAGTTGGTGTTACAAAACAATATGATAAAAATTAATCCAGATCTATGATGTATATATACAAATTTTAGCTCATGCGCTTTAAAATTAATTTGGATTAAATAATCCTTAGATTAAGATTCTATTAAAAAATGAAAAAAATAATCCCTATACTGGGATTAAAAAAGAAAGATAGAAATTTAATCCCTATACTGGGATTAATTATATTTTTTTTAAAAATAGGTGATTAAATTAAATTCTGCGGCCAATTGCTTCCATGATTCTTCAAATAGGTCTGGATCTTCTTGGATCTGATTCAATTCGAGAATTTTTTCTGTAGTATTTGTTGGTTCTATTTCTTTAGAGGTCCCGTCTGTTTCCGGGATGGAGAAGGAAAGGTGGTCAAAATTAATCGTGGGATAAGTTGAACGGCGGCGGGCCTCAAAAGGCGGGACCCATGTAGATGGTTTTTCCGGTATACAGGTGGGGGGTATTTTGACGGTCATCTTCTTCTTACATGGAGATGCCTTCTTTTTCTTTAATTCTTCTTCTGGAATCTTGTTGTTCTTCTTCCATTTATTCGTAAGATAATTGAGCTTCTCTTCATTGCTACTTAGGTGGTGAATATTCTTACGGTGTTTGTATAGATTGTGTCTTCTCGTGAAATCGGTATTGCAAAGACTGCAATGAGCCGTTGCGTCCATCTTGGCAAACAAAAAGTTTTAAAGAATGTTTGAAAAAATCGTTAAGCTAATTCGTTTAGTCCACCGGGGCTAGTTGTTGCTAGCAACGTTATGAAGCTTTCCTTATGACGTAATCGTTTGTTTAAATTGCGCGGAGTTTTTGAAAGGATTTTTATATTGATAGTATGATTATAAATATTAAAATGATTGCTTACGGGGGTATCTTTGAAATTTCGTATGTCGCTTAAATGATTATAAAATCTGCGTTTGCAGGTATCCGAGGTTTGGCCAATGTATTGTATCCCACATAAGTTGCAGGAAATAGCGTAAATTATATACGGGGTGTCGCATGTGAGATAGCTTTTAATAAAATATTTGTCCCCCGCCTTTCGAAGAAAGCAGGGGACTATTAAAATGGGTTCGTCCGTCTGTCTGTCTGTCTGTCTGTCTGTCCGTCACACTTTTTGGGACACAATAACTCTCTTCCTAATTGAGCTAGAATGTTCAAACTTGGTGTATGTGTTTATTAGGTCAATGCCTTGATGGAGTTCGAAGATGAGCATTTTCCGCTTAGGGTAAGCAGAGATAAGCAATTTGATTGGTTGATGCTTTGGGACACGATAACTCTCTTCCTAATTGGGCTAGAATGTTCAAACTTGGTGTATGTGTTGATTAGGTCAATGCCTTGATGGAGTTCGAAGATGAGCATTTTCCGCTTAGGGTAAGCAGAGATAAGCAATTTGATTGGTTGATGCTTTGGGACACGATAACTTTTAATTGAGCTAGAATGTTCAAACTTGGTGTATGTGTTTATTAGGTCAATGCCTTGATGGAGTTCGAAGATGAGCATTTTCCGCTTAGGGTAAGCAGAGATAAGCAATTTGATTGGTTGATGCTTTGGGGCACGATAACTCTCTTCCTAATTGAGCTAGAATGTTCAAACTTGGTGTATGTGTTGATTAGGTCAATGCCTTGTTTCATACCCTGTTAGGGTAAGCAAAGATAAACAATTTGATTGGTTGATGCTTTGGGACACGATAACTTTAGTTCCAATTAAGTGAGAGTGATGAAACTTGGTGTATAGTTTCATTACATCAATACCTTGACTAAGTTCGATGATGAGCATTTTCTGCTCAGGGTAAGCAGAGCGATAAGCAATTTGATTGGCCGAGACTTTGGAACACAATAACCCTCCTTCTAATTGAGCTAGAATGTTCAAACTTGGTGTAGGGGTTTATGAGGTCAATGCCTTGATGGAGTGCGAAGATCAGCATTTTCTGCTTAGGGTAAGCAGAGATAAGCAATTTGATTTGTTGATGCTTTGGAACACGAAAACTTTAGTTCTAATTAAGTGAGAGTGATGAAACTTGGTGTATAGTTTCATTACATCAATACCTTGACTAAGTTCGATGATGAGAATTTTCTGCTTAGGCTAACGAGCAATAAGCATTTTGATTGGTCAAACTCTTCTTCTAATTGAGGAAGAATGTTTAAACTTGATGTAGATGTTCGTCTTGACTGAGTTCAACAACTCTTCTTCTAATTGAGGTAGGATGTTTAAACTTGATGTAGATGTTCGTCTTGACTGAGTTCAATGATTAACATATCGAGCTAAAGCTAAGCAGAGATAAGCAATTTCCTGCTTTGGGACAAGATAACTTTGATTCTATCTAATAGAGAGTGATGAAACTTAGTGTATAGTTCTTAATCAGTTTGATTGCTTGATACTTTGGAAAAAAATAGATGTGCGATTAATTAATATGTGTCATCTATTTATTTGGGGATTTCGGCGGGGGACATCAGCCTCACTGTTGGTTTGTTCTTTTTGTTAACAAGTGATTCAATTGACGAAGTGATAATTAAGTGTCGGCAAACGGAACAATTATTGCCGCATTTATAACAACCATTTGGTTTAGGTAAAGAAATTGAAATATCGGAACGTATTAGTAAATCTTTTAGGTTTTTGTTGCGTCTAAAACATACTTTAAGTGGAGTATTTGAAATCGATCGGGTTTCAATGCTATTATCTAATATTGAAAATTCTCTACTGATGGTTTTTTTGAAATTGACATGAGGGATAAAGTTAGTTACGAACGTGAGTGATTTATCTATAATTTTATCCTTGTATTTAAGCAAATCGTCTCTATTGATTAGGCGGGCTTTATCAAAAGATCTGTTAATAAGTTGAATCGGATATCCTCTTTTTAGAAACTGGATCCGACAGTGTCTGAGGGAATGTTCTCTATTGGTGGTGTTGCTGGAAATTCGGCAAATTCGTAGAGCTTGACTAAAAGGTAGATTGCGTTTCTGATGTATGGGATGGCAACTTAGGTAGTGGAGATACAGGAAGCTATCCGTTGGTTTGGAATATAATTTAGTTTGAAGGTGTTTATCAGCGTCTTTATAAATGGTGACATCTAAAAAATTTATCTTGTTGAGGTCGTACTCGAGAGTGAGTTTGATCGAAGGTAGGGGATTGTTGAACTCCTCTATGAAGTCAGTCAGACTCTGTACATTAGAGGGCCACAGGAAAAAAATATCATCGATGTATCTGTACCATACAGGAGGTTTCATCGAGGTTTTTTCTAAAAAAGATTCTTCTAAGTCGCTCATAAAAATACAAGCTATGCTGGGGGCTGCTTTGGTACCCATACTGATTCCTTGGTTTTGTAAGTAGTATTTGTTGTTGAAAATAAAACAGTTTTTCTTCAGGATGAAATTTAGAAAACGTAATAGGATCCATGAGTGGACGGTTTTGTCATCTCGATTTTGTAGAGCTTTTTACAGGTGGTCATGGCTAGATTATGCGGTATAGATGTGTAGAGACTGGTGACATCTGCCGTACATAAAATGGTTTCTTCATTAAGTTTCGGAATTTCTTGGATTTTACGTAAAAAAATCAGTGGTATCTTGAATGAATGAGTCGGCTTTTTTGACTTCTTCCTTAAGGTGATAATCCAAAAATTGAGAAATTTTTTCCGTTGGTGAATTAACTGCTGATACAATAGGTCGTCCTGGATTGTTTGGTTTATGGATTTTTGGCAGCATGTAAAACACTGGAGTTCTCGGATATTTGGTTTTTAGGTATTTTACGGTGTCCGGATCTAATAAATTATTTTTGCTAGTGTAGTTGAGAAATTTGGTAATTTCTTCGTTGAATTTTAAAGTTAAATTGGTTTTAAGGGGTTTATAGAATTCACAATTATTGAGCTGGCGCAGTCCTTCTTCAATATAATCGCTTCTGTTAAGAATGACAATTTTGCCACCCTTATCTGCTTTTCTAATAATTATGTCTGTATTTTTTCCTAATTCTTTCACGGCTTGGATATAACTTGATTTAAAATTCTTTTTGGTATTTAATCTTCTAGGTGTGATTTCTTTGATTTTATGTTGGGTGATATGGATGAATTCTTCTAATGGTTGGCATCTGGTGTGCGGTGGCGTCCAACCGGTTGGTTTGGCAAATGGGCGAGGTACATAATTCTGGTTGTTAGGAGTGTTTCTATGGTAATGATTTAGGCGAATAGTTCTTTCGAAAATTTTGCAATCAGTTAGGATGTTTAATTCTTCAGTTTTGGTGGGTGTAGGTATAAAATTAAGACCAAAGGCTAAAGCTTCTAGGTGAATAGTTGATAATTTAAATTTAGATAGATTGATAATGATCTGGTCTAATTCTTCCTTATTCAGGCTTCTTTTCTGGAATCTTCTTGGCATTTTTTGGTCTTTTTTTGAAATCTTCCAATGCGTTGGATACTATGGAAAAGAGGAGTTCCTTGTTTTCCTCACTGGCGTCTATCTTGCGGATTTCTTCGGAGACTTCTTCTAACTCTTTTTGTATATTAATTTTATGGTTGTTCCAGTAGTCTAATAGGATGAGTGTGAGTTCTTTGCCAAAGTTTTGATGCGCCGCTTCCCAACGTATTTGGAAGCGACTCGGGAAATCCGGTGTTTGCGGTAAGGTTTTACTTTGATTTAATCCTTTAGGTACAAAGTGTTTTTCTATGGATAAATTCAAAAAAGTAATGTGGTTATCACATTTGAGTAAGTTGAATCGTAGTTTTCTGAAGACCCGTAGATACGGGACTAGATTGTCTGGAAGCTTTTTGCTGTTGGTAAAATGAGTAGAAAAAATGTTTCAGGTTCAATATCGTTTCTAGGTCGTTTATTCGGATTTTCTTCTTCCATACCGGAGGTAAAAGGTGTAAGAGAAAGTACGCTAAAGTAGCGCTCAGGTGTCTCTA